TTCAGTTCTGACCCAACATCAACCAAAAGGGTAACTTTATATAGAAAAATTTTCCCCCATCTAAGTTCCTAGCAGGAAGAAGATAAGCCTGCAGACACTGCCCTGTGAGCCAGGCTCTGATGCTTTCTCATCCACACTGTCTGCTGAGTTGTGCCGGGCATTCGGAGGTGACCCTGGAGGGAAAGACGAGGCAGGCCTCTGCCTTGCTGGAGCCTGCAGCCTGGTCACGGGAACGCCCTTGCTCCCAGTGGTCAGTGCTGTGAACAGGAGGCGGCCAAAAACCTGGAGGGGAACCAGAACGGGGAGACGCATGCAAAGAGAGGTGCCTTTCCAGTAGAGGGTGTTATCTGACCCAAATCCTGAAGGCAGAGAAGAAGCCTGCCAGAGACAGAGGACTATGTGAAAAGCCTTGGTGTGTTCACTCTAGTAGCTGAGCAGAGGGTGGAGAGGATGGTCCAGGCAGAGGGTGAGGGACTCTGCCTCCCCTGCCGAAGCATCTGATTCCTATTCCCATTTCACAGGTAAGAAACTGGAGCCCAGAGAATGGAAGTGACAAGTTCAAGGCCATACAGCAGTGGAGAGTTAGATCTGGACACAAGTTGGTAATCACATGAAATTTTTCAATTAAATGTAAAAAGAGGAAAAAACAAACAGGGCTATTCTCTCTTCTGACTGCTCTATTGATTGAAATGAATGTCTGTGCTGGGACCACTGAACTATGAGAACGGATCTGGCTCAGATGGGAACAGACTGTCAGGAATCTCTGGGCTGAAGGAGAAAGTGGAGAAATTTTTCTGCACAGACCCACGTGTGGGGGTGTCGGTGTGTCTATCTGCAGCGACGTGGCCGCGTATGGATCTGTGCATGCCTATATATAGGAGACATATGCCACAATCTTCAATCAGCATCCATGAGCCAAAGGCACGGGCAGGATTCCTGATGGGGCCGCTCATCCAGGCTCTGCAGGGCTCCCCACTGGGCGAGGGGTTATTCAGACCCTAAGTTCAGCTCTCAGAAGCCCCCGTCTGACACACGAGTCCAACGGAACCTACAACATGGTGCTTCAAGACCGTTCTCTGGGGAATTTGGAAAAACAAGTGGCATTAATATGTATGCCTCTAATTTCATCAAAATGTTAGTTTGTGAGAGCTATTCTGCATACAAGAAACCCTTTGCTTAAGGAAAAGGGGGGAGAGGATTAAAAAAAGAAAATAAGAAAGAACTCTCTGTCAGCTGCTATCTCTAACCCCCCCCCTCAAATAAAATAAGCTATTGCCAATTCTGTGAGGCACATGTTAGAGTTTAAATCAGAATCAACCATCTTTAGAAGATTATGAAACGAAGTGTTTTTATTCTCCATAAAATTCCCTGAATGGGTAAGTGTGAGAGGAAGCTAGGGATCAAAGGCCTTCCGTGAAGATGGACAAGTAGAAGTGAAAGGGCCGGGGGCTCGTCCCTGTTCCGATGAGCACTAAGCTTCCCCTGTGACCTTCATGAACAGCCGCCCACTTGCGCCCCAGCTTCAGCTCCTCTGACTCAGCGGGCCATCATCCTCTGTCTACCCTGCATTCCTCTTCTTAGCCCAGCGACTTCCTCTCCTTGCCACCAAAGTACAGCAAGCCTGGATCAGGGCCCTGGTTTGGTGCATCCATCGGCTGGAGCAGTGGGGCCCTTCAGTGACACCGTTTCAGACCACGAGGAGGGAGGCCCAGGAGGCCTGGCCTTGTCTGTCTCCAGGCCCTGACCCCTGCTTGGGCAGGAGACCCCTATCTTCCAGGCCAAACCTAAGGGAACGGAGACTTCACTGGTGGAGTTTTGGGAGCCGTGTCCCACGTGGGGACTCAGGCCTTCTCTCTGGCCAGCTGTGCAGCCTTGAACACATGTCCTCAACTCTCTGGGCTTCAGTCTTCTCATCTATCAAATGGTAACAATAACTGCTGGGATCGCACTTGTCAAGAGCACAGGCACCTTGACTTACCCTGCAATGGATGAAGGTAAAGATTTTCTGAAAATCTGGAAGCAGTTTTCGACTCGTTTTGTATCTAAGATGGGAGGCGGGCATTCTTCCCTCCCCAGGGGGCTGTGGGGAGGCCAAGATGACCACACACACATAAAACTCTGAGCACAGCACCCAGCACTGAGCAAACACCACCACTCAGCATCCTTGCTCAGAGGCTGTGAAGCAATGATGGGAGCTGAGTGTTCTCACGGGAGTAAAAACTGCCCTGGTGCCCATGCTAGGAAACATGAGTCTGGAAGGGGACACAGAGATACAGGCAGGGAGGGGTGTGAGGAAGGACCTTTCCAGAATGTCAAGAGAAGGAAAATAGCTCAAATGACCCTGGAGGAGGGGCCAGGTGACCCTCCACAGCGTCCTTCCACCAGCCCCATGTGCTCTTCCTGCTTCCCGCGACTCGTGCTGGTGCCAGAGGAATGAGTTAAGACATGGACCTCCTTACAGACAAGGAGGTGAAGGCGGGAGATGCCAAAGGCTCCAGAGGACACAGCCGGGTCCCTGACGGTCCCTGGCATGGAGCCAGCACCCACTGTTTCATGAGGGAAAGAATGGACTCAAGAATGAATGAACATCCTAAAATAACAAATACAAAGCACTTGCCTAGGCAACAATTTTGAGAAAACTCTGCTGATATGGAAGTCCATTAACCTTTTGAGCATAATTAACCTTTTATTTTAGTTCACATAAATGATTAGTTGATACTCAACACTAGGCAAATGAAGACAGGTAAAGCATGCAGCATTTCTGAATGCACACAGAATATTCTAGTTTCCAGAAAGTTTTCATGCATCTCAGACTGGGGAGTGATTTATTCCATTTCTGTTTCCTGCTGTCCTTTTTGGTAAGTGTAAGGTTTTTTAATAAATAAAGTTTGATTTAAAAAGAGAGACCCCTAATAATTAAGTTCTTAGAAAATGTAACAAAGATCCTAAAAATTCTGTGAAAACAGATTAAATGATACATACAAAAAGATTAATTGTCTGTCTCTCTAGTTTGCTTTTTCCCAGTCAAGATTCCACCCTCCAGCTTCCCGCTGTCAATAGCACCTGCAAACTGATTTATCCCTTGATGAAGTTAAAGCTTTTCTGAAGATTTAGAAACAGTTTGCAAAACCTTGCTGTTGTTAAGCATCTGAGGAGCTGTTTTTCCCCCACTAGTTTTCATCTCAGAATCTTCGCATCTGCAGGACCATCAAGCACCTCCGCAGAACAAGAGAGCAGAGGAGGGGTGGGTGCCTACAGGCTGCAGTTTCCCATCCATCCCAGCAGTCTGTCACCAACAGGCAGGGCAGGCAGAGTCACAAGCTGGGCCAGAAAAACAGCTTCTAGCGTCTCTGATTAGGGCTTCCTACGAGAAGCATGGGGCCTCTCAGATGGTGTTACTGGTAAAGAACCCGCCTGCCAATGCAAGAGATGTAAGAGATACGGGTTGGATCCCTGGGTCGGGAAGATCCCCTGGAGAAGAGCATGGCAACCCACTCCAGTATTCTTGTCTGCAGAATCCCATGGACAGAGGAGCCTGGTGGGCTACAATCCATGGGGTCGCAGAGAGTCTAACACAACTGAAGCAACTTAGCACGCATGCAAGAGAAGCACTAACATTTTGTTCTGAGTATTGAAAATTCCCAAATTAGACACAGCTATATTCAAATATGAACACCCCTCCTCCTCGACACCTCCCCAAAACTCCAGATATAAAATACACAGAGAGGAACATTCTGGTCGATAGATGTTCTGGATATAGATGCAAGTAGTTGTTTCTGCTCAGATAAGAGAGTGATGGCTGGGTGATCATCTCTGGTTTGTCTACTAAAACAAAAGTCTTTTTTAACTCAGGATGAGTGTGGTTAACGGCACACACATGGGCAAGCTGGGCATTTGCAGCTGCATTTGCTTCTGACTTGGAAGCAGAGGTATTGGAGGTGACAGCTGGGGAAGAGGCCTGGTGTGCTGAGACTTGGCTCAAGGGGCATGTCTCAGGTTCTTCACACCCACACACCCCTCCTCACCCACCTTCTCCTCCATGAATCAGTAAGTCCAGGTTTTCATGGGGTCCTCAGATACCACAGTGTCTGGTTTCAGACCATCATTGTGTTCACCACTGCCAGAAATAAGTCACCTCAGCAAACTCTAATGGTGGCAATTTTGTGACGCATAAAATTGATTTATGCTTACAATCAAGCTGTATTTTCCTTGATAATTTATGCTCAACAATTTAACATAATTATTTGTGCCACAATTTCAACATTTCTGCCGTCCTGACTGTCAACTCTGGAGTACAAACACACACACACAGGCACATACACAATATACAAAACAAAAAACACAGTATCCTTCAGAGGCAGGATTTTTTAAAAATCAATGTCATAGCAGCCTCTTTTGTATTTTGTTGTGACAAGACTGAATTTAAACAGCCTAGGAAGTCAAAACAACAGGAGAAATATCAATACATATTAACTTAATCAGGCAGCTCTGCTCCACCACTCCGTCTATATTCGAATTACGCTTCCACGGTGAGTCCCATGGAGCTATTTGCATCTTGTAACTTCTGCACAAATATCTGCAGTCTTCAACGGTCATGGTCACCCAGGATGAAGGGTGGCTACAGGCATCCGACATCCTCTTTGCATCTGTATGAGATTCTGTCACAGCCACTTTAGGAGAATCACTCCCCAGTGATGCTTAGCCTCACGTGTTTGAATTCACAATCTTAAAAGGCCTTTCATCCAGGACAGGCTTTTCCTCACATCCCCCAGTGGCCTCCCAGCAGAAACTTCATTGTCTACTCTTCTGCATAAACTTCTTTGAAAACTCAATAAAAGACACGTTAACCCAAATGAACGCCCTGCACGGCCCCATCAAATGCCAGGTATGCACACAGGACTCTGAAGTCAGTGTCTGATTAAGGCACCGGGAGTCAGATCGGAGACACAGGCAGAGCAGGTAGAGACCGAATACACTTGACCTTTTAAATGAACACTCACTGCTTTCCGTTCACGCCGGTACATTCCATTCTTCCTCCCCAAAAAGGTAATTGGAAGAGATACACCAATGGTCTCATTAAGCACATCGTGTTCACTTCATCATACAGGAAGATGTTCCTGCTGGCGCACGACCAGCTGGGCTGCTTCCAGAGAGGAGTGGCCAGCCCTTCCCACCCTCTCACCACTGCCCCTTGAGACCCACCTGAAACAGCCCCAAGGAGCCTCCTCCAGTTGGGCAAACAAGCAGAGCTCGGGGTCCCCCTTGTGCACACTTGGACAGAGACTTATAACCAGGCTGCATCATCATCTGCAGGGCCAAGGGCAAAGTGAAAATGATGGTGATAACAGCACAGACACAGGCCTGGGAGCCAGCCTGCTGCCTGACACCCGGAAACACCTAGAGGTGACAGGACTCTGCACAGAACCGGCGAGGCCCAACAGGCAACTGACTGTCTGTAGGGAGTCCTCAGTGCACCCTCAGTGCAGCCCACCCTGCAAAGCTTCCCCCATTGGCCCAGCAGACAGTCCAGTTCACTGTTCAAGTCCAAGGCAAGACCACCTTTGAGAAGGAGATAAATGCACTTAAGTCCCTACCTGCCCAGGCTCCCTAAAACTCTGTATTTTCAAAAGAAGACAATTTGAGCATCACCCTGATACTCGGATTTTTGGGAAGACACAGGAATAGATACCCCCTCTCTCTCCATGTCTTCTCACTGCAGTTACTTCCCAGGAAAAAATAAATGCACACACATTCATTTCTAAAACTATGAGAATATCCAAACTTAAGAAAGTCTTCATATAAATACAGATATTAAACCCACCAGGACATGGCGCAAAAAGACACAAAGAGAGGAGAATTTACTTACACTTCTAGAAACCCCAGGATCCACTTGAACCGATCCTGTAATAGTGGGTTTTGTATTATCTGCTAAAATCAGACATGAGAGACCTTTCTTTCCAATGATTTAAAGGTGCCACACGACGGGGTGGTGGAAACTGCCATCTTTGTGAGAAATCCAGCTTCAGCATGTCCAAAGACTATGTGTAACAGAAACCCAGTCTGAAGGATCTGATGACAATTAGAGTAGAAATATTACCTACAGATAACTTTCGGTTTATTGATTGTATTAACAAAACTCCACACAAATCAAAGTTCCAAAATATTTCTATGAAATTGTGATGGATGTTCAGAGATATATATATATAGATATATATGTGTGTGTGTGTATATATTCCTTCAATAATTATTTGTTGAGTTCCCACTGACCTTGCATCATTCCATTTCATTCTAGAATATGGGTATATAGAATATAGAAAAATAAACTAGACAAATGTACACATTTCCAGTAGTCATATATGGACGTGAGAGTTGGACCATAAAGAAGACTGAGCACTGAAGAACTGATGCTTTCGAACTGTGGTGCTGTAAGACTCTTGAGAGTCCCTTGGACAGCAAGATCAAAGCAGTTAATTCTAAATGAAATCAACCCTGAATAATCACTGGAAAGACCGAAGCTGAAACTTCAATACTTAGGCCACCTGATGCGAAGAACTGACTCATTGGAAAGGATCCTAATGCTGGGAAAGATTGAGGGCAGGAGGAGAAGGAGGCAACAAAGGATGAGATGGCTGGATGGTATCACTGACTCAATGGACATGAGTCTGAGCAAACTTGGGGAAACAGTGAAGGACAGGGAAGCCTGGGATGCTGCAGTCTATGGGGTCGCAAAGAGTCAGACACGACTTAGTGACTGAACAACAACACATGACATATGTACAGTCTAATAAAGGAATGAAGATGCAGATAAATAACTATAATATGGGGTTTAAAGAAAAACAGAAATAAATTTCATAGATTTAATATTGCCAGAGTCCAGACAGAGGAGATAATACTTCCCTATGAGGAGATCTTCAGAGATTTCCCATGGAAGAACTATCATTTAGTTATTCCTGGATGTGTAGATAAGAATGTGGAGCAGGTGTGGAGGTAGGGCCTTCCAGCAAAGGGAAACAGTGTGACCTGGACCATCACCACCAGATCCCCCCAGGAACTAACTACCCGGGAAGTAGCCATCTGGTCTACCCCTTCCCTTCTCTGTTGTTTTTCAGAGAACTGATGCTCAAATCCCCTCCTTCCTCTCTCCAGCTCTCAGTAGTCTGGCTCCTGCTCCCACCTTCAACTGAACATGTTCTCAGAAAATGCCACTAGGAACTCTTAAATGTCGAGCATGATGGGCATTTTGCAATCCGAATCTCACTGGATCTCTCTGCTATGTGTGATGCAATTAATCGCTTCTTCCTTCCCGAGGCTTCCGTGGTCCCACATCATCTGGCTCCCCCAGTCCCTTGGACGGTTCCTCCTCTGGCCCCTTCGTGGGCCCGTCTTCCTCCATCTGCTCTGTGAAGGCTGCCATTCCCCAGGGTTCTGTCCTCCACCCACTGCTTTTCTCACTCCACATGCTCCCTGGGTAGCCGCAGCCATTCTCGCGATTGTAATTACCATCTATATGCCAGTGGCTCCTAAATCTATATTTCCAGGCTTGGCCTCATCCCCTGAGCCTCAGACTCATATATCAAAGCTCCACTGCTGATCCCACTGGCAACTAAAAGTCAACATGTTGGAAATGAAAATCATTAGTTTTTTCCCTAAGACGTCACCCCCTCTTATATTTTCTGCCTCAGTTGGAGTTGGCCAATTTTACTCACTATATAACTCTCAAATCGGTCCCCTCCTTCCTGTCCTCCTGCCAAGTCCTTGCTCAGCCTTCTCAGCCTTGGCCCCAAAGTTGTCCTGTGTCCTCAAGCTCACCTCTGAACATCTGCCAGAAAGAATTTAGCTTCATCTCACTCACACACACACACACACACACACACACACACACACACACATCTTGGAGCATCTGCCAGCTACACATTTCCTGGGAATAAGATCCAATTTCCTTAATGCGAAATACAAGGCCCCTTCATGATCTTTCCATCACAGAAGAGAGAAGTTCTGAAACTGCCACCTGACAGCCAGTGAGGAAGACGTGAAGGATTTCTGGGCAGCACCAATAGCCCAAAGGAATGGAAAGAGCACGACTTTATAGAGTATTCGCTTGTCAGGATGCCTCGGCAGTAACCAAAGGGGTCAGTATAGACGCAGAGAAGGCAGACGGCAGGAGGACCCAGGATTCCCATGGTGGAGTAACAAAGGGTGTGGGCTACCATCCAGAGCAGTACTGGAATGTAAGCGATGGTCCATGGGGTCCAGGCTTGATGGAGGGAGTGAAAGGGAAGAGGCAAACAGGCTGTCAGAAGAAAACAGTGGAAATAAATGATGGGCAGTTTCAATGAGACAAGAGGAATGAAGATCACAGTAAAGGGAGGTTATACTCAGGTAGGGGTGTCTCCTTTTCCCAGGTAAGATGGAGACAGAGCTGTTCCAGGTAAACACATGATTCTAGCCACAGTCGGCTTCAGTGCATAGACATGTGACACGGAGGCGAAGGGCGCCGGAGACTGAGGAAGCCATGAGCCCTGAGCTTGATGACGTAGAAGATTTATCACTGCATCCATCCCATGGGGTTTTTAACTGTCTCTCTATGCATCTGTCCCTATCAAAGAGCTAACAGAGGTCAAGACTGCAGACATTCAAGTCACATCCCCAGCACCTAGCACCATGCCTGAGACAGAGTGACAGCTTGGCAAAGTCATTCCTCTAGGGACAAAGTCCCAGAAGTGGGGGGTGCTATGGCGTATGAAAGGAGAAGCGGAATCCGGCTGGTTCAGAGGCATGAGAATAAAGAGTGAGAAGGACGCTGGGTTAACGCCCTAAAAATAAGGGCACCCTGGAACAGGAGGCTGCTGTGAAGTCGTGATTTATGAGAAATGAGCATTTGATCTTCATCCCATTTCTTCCATAGAGCTCCTAAAATCCTTGGAATTAGTGTTTTCTTTTGTTAATGTGGAGGCTTTGGGAAAGCATCTAAGGAGGGGGCTGGTTGCCAGGGGGACCAAACTCAAACAGAGGGCTGGAACTTCCACACCCTGCCTCACCCTCCACCCCCTACCCCACTCCACCCTGACCTCTCCACCCTGATTCCTGGAGAGGGGAGAGTGAATAGAGGTCACATCACTCATGCCCATGCCTTGAGCCTCCGTAAGCCCTGAAAGGACAGGTTTGGAGAGCTCCCAGGCTGGGGGAACAGAAGGCTTCCCTGTGCCCTGAGATGGGCCGGATTCCCCAGGGCCAGACATATCTCTTCATCTGGCTGCTGACTCCGACCCTTCAAATCCTCTCCAGTAAACCCCTGACCCAGTGAGTAAATGGGTTCCCTGAGTTCTCTGAGCTGCTCCAGCGGATTCATGGAACCCAAGGAGGGGTTGTTGAGGACCTCTGATTGTAGCCACTCAGGCAGAAGACAGGTGGCACCTGGACCGGAGACTAGCATCTGATGTGGGGGTCATCTTGGGAGACTGGGTGCTTACCCTTGGGATTTGACGTGTCTCTGGGGAGACAGTATCAGAACAGAGGTGACTTGCAGGACACCCAGCGGGTGCTGTGGAGAAACCATCACCTCTACGCTGGAATTGGCTGCAGAATCATTAAAAGCCAAGGAAAGCAGACTTTATTTTGTAGTCAATTGGAAGTCACTGAAAGTTTGGGGCTTGGAAGAAAGGAAAGGTTATCAGGACGATTTCACAATGATGATTAATATTTATGACTCTAAAGCACTGCACAATGCTACCCCGAGCATTGCTGAAGAAGGACGATGTCGGGCTCACCAGAGAGGTCCTGTCCCAGTAAGTCTACTGCTTCCCACTGATTCTCTGATACTGGAATTCCATCTTCTCCATTCAGATGACATCACACGGCCAGTGGCTACTGAATACCTTCTACGTATGCATCCCTACACTAGACACCTTCACAAATGCTATTCTACTTCAATTCAAAACATCAATCTGATAAACCAGATCCTCAGATTTCTAAATGATATTAGACAATGAACATCATATTTACATATCATAGGATCTCTCAAAGATTCAAAGCCACATACAGGATTATGCAGAATTTATTTTTGTTTGTTTTTTAATGAAATTGCTTCTATTCAAAGGCTTGGTGTATAAGTAGGAACAGAAATTCACCTTCTATAAATGC